CAGCCGGGTCCGGGCACATCGTGAGAGGTATTTGCATCCTGTGGGTGCTGGCGCGTCCCCTGTGAACTGTCCGGCGCCGAGCCGTGCCCGGGCAGACCCGCACATGCGAGCAGCACGGTGACAAGGGCACCCCGGGAGCGCTCGGGGATGAACCTCGAGCAGTTTCACCACAGCTCCGCCCTCGCTTCGGAGAGAACAGGCCAACACTTACCCGCCAACCTTTTCTTTCCCAAGCTCGGAAGATTTTAGCCGTTTCCCAAAGCCGCCGCCTATTCATGCCTTCCCGCTGGGCTCAGCCCTGGCGTGTTTGGGCTCTGGTGTCCTCCGGATCGCCACAGGGAGGGAAGGCAGATTCGATGTTATTTGGTGTTTTATTTTGGTTGCCATCCCTAGCGGCTTTTTTGCTTTCCCCCCTGCTTGACTGCCTGCTGCTACCCCAAAACTTTCCTTGCCTGTGTGCCACCCTCTTCGGTTTGAGCTTCGTCACCTTGTACCGCTTCCAGCATGGGAGCGAGGCAAACTTACCAGTCAGAGCTGACTGGAAACAAACTGTATCCCAGAGCCACCGGTATTTCAAAGATCACAAGTAAATCATCCTGTTACCGTTGTGCAGGAGCTGGTGTTAACATCCCTGCTCTCGTTCTTTCCCTCTTACCCTCCGTTCCCGTTGCGTTATCAGTTGCGATGCCTGCGTAGGTGGGTGGACTGGGCACTGTTGTCCCTGGAGTGTTTGTGGTGGGCGGGAATGAGAGGGGACAGCCCTGTCCTGCGGCTCAGTCTTCTCCAGACACGTCCTAAACTCCCACCGCGGGTGCGTGGCTACAGTCTTGACCATTCTGTGAAGGCGTTACCAGAGTTTACTCCAACGCGTGACATTTTCTCTCTTACCAGCGAATCGCTACAGTACTGGGCAGCGAGGGAGAACAAGCGGCCGAGATAAATACAATGGCAGAAATTACCGAGCCGAGCAACAATGCGCAGACGCTCCTCGGCAGGGTGAAGCTCACGGATCTCTCAAAATCTTGAGAGAAGGAATTGCTTTTTCCAGAAGCCCTTCGCACCCAACCAAAGAACTGACGATGCTGCTTTGCTCTCCGGCGTTCCTCGCTCACCGTGGTACATTTGCTCATTCTCAAAACGTGTTCTCTTTTCCAACGCAGGGCGCTAAGGCGTGTTTTTTGCGCGACATCCCCTTCTCCGCCATTTACTTCCCGTGTTACGCTCACTTGAAAGCTTCGCTTGCGAACGAGGATGGGAGGGTCAGCCCCGGCAACCTGCTCTTGGCTGGATCGATAGCTGGTAAGTGCCCGGGTTTCTTTTTGCAGGAGAACTTCGGGAAGCTCAGAAGGACTAGATGCGTTTTGCAACCTCGTGCCCAAATAACAGCAGGCTACCATGCTGTAGAGTGATCTGATGTTAGAAAGCTACTCTAAGTTCCTGGTATAATCACCGCGTTGAGGAGGAAAAACAAAGGGAAGGGTCGAAGTGCTGCTGTTCTGTCATCTTCCGTTGTGCAGCCGCTGTGCCGGGTTGGGTCGTGGCTGGCGGGCTGGTAAAGGTTGGCTGGAATGGTTTATAGACAAAATCATTTGTGAAATTCTGTATGACCACAGGAATCTCGAGTTTTGGGACGTGGGGTCTAAAAGCCACGCTGGCAGTACAGCTCTCCAAGCACAGTGACAAGACGGTGACAGCGCTCGCTACCCGCGGTGTCCCATGCGGTTTCTTGGCTTTTGTGAGGAGATTACCTTTTATTTTTTAATTTTTAAAGCTTGGAAGCATTTCGGCTGTGCCGTAGGCCGCTGATTCCTAGCGGATCCGGGCACGAGCAGAGACGCTGAGTGTGATCTTGGGCACTTGCTTGTTTTAGTCCGCCACGTAGTGGATGGGGGAACCAAATCACACTTAACTTGTCACAGACACGTTTAACTCGAGCGTGCCAGAGCCTCAGGGAAGAGACGGAGCCCCGCTTTGGAGCCTCAGCTTGCCTC